GAATCAGGCACCACAACTTTCACTCCCTATAGGGGGCGCACTGGGGCCTACCAAATGGCTGTCATCTGGATGATCGTCGTAGAACAGCAGTACGAGGCTGGGTCTGCGACGCGCAAGTAATTATAGTTTTGCTATATACGAGTAGTGTTAGAACCTTACTTTACTTTTTCACGTGAGGAAGGTGTAGGCAAGCACCTTCATTTTGAAGCCGATAATCCAGGAGCTAGGGAGCGCGATTCTCACACCGCGGTACCATCATCGATGAAATTTACGAATACGCGTCGTCCCGTCATTCAGTAGAAGGGTCGCCTAAAGGGGTGTCCAAACAGGACACTACAAAACGCACGACTCCGACAAATCGTGAAAATTAAAGCGGGCGTGAAGCGGACGCGCCCGTTTCAATTTTCATGATTTGTCGGAGTCGTGCGTTTTGCAGTGTCCTGTTTGGACACGTCCTGTTTGGACACCCCTTAATGCGACTCGCAGAGAGGCGACATCGACACTCGGCGTGTCGCTCTGGTAGTCTCATCTTTTCTAATTCACCAAGCGCTCAGTCTCGAGAGCGATAGGCTAATAATGGGGAGTAACCCTTGGTGAATTAGGAGCGGTTTTTGTTGGTATATCTTCTTGGACGCTAAAGAGCGCGCTTGTATCTACCGCACTAAAGGCGAGAACTTTGAGCGCATTTGGGGTCCGTCCAAATACACCAAGAGGATTCCCCTTAAAATTTGAAAGGGGCATAGTGCTTACTCGAATGAAGACAAAATTACACGCAATATTAGTTAAGTAAATTGCAGAAACACTCACGATTATATCCGGTCAGATACCAGCTAAGTAGAGTATCAATGCTTTTTTTTTTTTCCTTATGTGATGAATTTGGTTCTCGTACATCTCGACATGGGAACTACGACGTAGCCCCCTTTTTTCCTCTGGCAGATGATGGGTGTTCGTTTCTCCAAAGTGAGCAAAACTAAATCGGCTTTACAAGAAATGGAGGACGACTCAAAGAAATAATGATAATAAATAAATAAATAATAAACACCACAAACACGTTAAAAAAAAAGAAAACACTATTGAGGTTTGCTTGGAATCTCCAACGCAGGTCGTCTCAACGAGGCAGTCATTTTGCACGCCATTTCACATCCGCGCTTCGCCCGCCGACGAGTCCGCCGTGGCAGCCGAGCCTAGCCCGGCATCGGCGCGCGTTGCCAGCGGCGTTCGTCGGGACGTCTGCTGCGCGGGCCGCGTCACAGCCGTCAGTCACGTCGAGTGGTCGCTGTTGACTCCGTTCCGCTGCTGACTTAGGTGCACGCACGTCCCAAGGCGCTGCCGCCGCGAGCCCCCGGCGCCAGGTCCCGCGCTTTGCCGGGGCCTTTTGTTCGCCGCTCCGGCCGTGCTCGGAAGGCGAGCGCGCCGGCGCAGGCGCGGCTGACGCCCGGGCCCGGCTTTGTACGCGCGACAGCTCGTCCGTCATCATTTCGAGCGGCCAGACACGCAACGGACGGGAGGGGGGAAGCCTTTGTCTCGCGTCGACCTTTCGCTGGCGCTGCTGCGTGTCTCCGTGGGCAGAGCGACGCCCGCGCGCGTAGTTAGCACGCCTCGGACGCCGTGTGGGCAGCGGCGACGCTTACCGTCCGATCGCCGCGTATACCGACGGACGTCTCCTGGATTGCGCTCGTCGGTTATCCCACAGGCCGGTTTCGTCCGTTCGTCAGTGCGGAAGAACGCGAAACTCGCGTTCATACAGGGGGTTCGCCGACCATAAGCGTCGTTCGATCGAGAATGATACGCCTTTAAAAACATTTAACCCTCAAGCGGAAAAAAATGTACAGTCGCTGCTGTGTGAATGCACGCGCGGCGTCTCAGGTTCCCCGGAGGAGAGTAACTGCGCATGCTCGGAACGCGTTGCACAGTCCAGTGGACGAAGATGGCAGCACGCAGGAGCCGATTATACGGGTAGCAACTGAGGGAGAGGAGGAGGCAAGAGCGCGCGGTGACGTCAGAACACCGAGTTCTTCTTAGAACGATTAGTGACTTAGTCGCAAATCTGGCTGCCTTTTGTCTCAACACACTCTTTGAAAACGTTCGAACAGCGAACACCGGTGTCAGGCATTCGGCGTTCGCGTTCGAACAGTGAGTAGAGACAAAGACAGCTAGCTTCGCGCCTACCCGCTAATCATTCCAACTGGAATGCGGTGTTGTGACGTCACCGCGCGCTCTCGTCTTCTCCTCTCCCTCAGTTTGTACCCGTACTGAAAGTTTTTACAAAAACTATATACCGTCCTTAAAAAAAAAAAAGAAAAAAAAAGTAACAGTGTAACAAAGCTTTTTTGCCAATTCGACCGGAGGGGGAAGCAAGTGCGGAAGGCGCCCACGTTTGGGAATAGCAGCTGCCAGAATTCCTTTTACTCGCAACGGTATATTGGCACGAGTCTAATGCGAAACTGCCAAATCTGTGACGACTACGAGCCCCAGGGGCTTTGGTAGCCGAGTATTTTCACACGAGGCAACTCGCCAGCAGCGCACCGGGCAAACGCCTTGCTGGAAGTTGTGTCTTCGGTTTTCACTTTACTGCCGTTTTACAGATGTACGGACGAGTGCTTTATCGGCGGCGCGAGCCATGTTGAATCGCTGCTGCCTTGAGCACGTCAAGGACTTCTGGGTAGTATACTAATCTTTTAAGACCATGGTCACTAAGAATTTAGGAAACGAGAAGGGGGAGGGGGGGGGGGGGGGGCAACTTCCGAGGATTCATTATCCCTTGGCAGCCATTGAGAGTGCGGCATTCCACAGCACCGAAGAAGCGATCGCGAAGCGAGAAGAGTGAAGGAGCCACCTTTTCGCAAGCTGTCAAGGTACACACCAACTCATGTTTACAAACAAACCGGAGCGCCCGAAGCGCCCCTAGCGGACGCCACCGGCGCCGCGCATGCGTGATGGGCGTGTGGGCAAGAAGCTCGCCGTCGCCCATAAACAAACCATTGAAATGCGATGTTGTCGGCGTCGGTGTGAGTCCCCGCGTTCTTTTTGGCGCTGAAATTGTTGATTCTACGTCCTCCTAACGATGTCTGACTACTTGAGCGGCGTCAGCGAAATTACCGAGGCTCGTTACACCACAAAACGTCGCGTAAATCATCTGACATGCGGCGATTAATTCCGCGTGGACGCCGCAGAATGTACGCTAAAGCCTGATTCACATGATGAGATTTCGCTCGCAATTTTCAGTAGCGACGTCGCTCGGACTGCAAAAGCGTGAACCGTAGCTGAGATGTCGACGTCGATACTGAAAATCGCAAGCGGAATCTAACCAAGTGAATCAGGCATAACAAGTCGGTGATGGCCACTGGTAACAATGACCAACATCTCCTTGTATGTACTGTTTACTTCCAGCCTGCTTACCAACCTTTAAACTTAAGTCTTTTGAGGCCTGCACGTACTTCTTATCGCAAGTACCAGGCCCACGTTTGGTCTATGGGCCGGTGTCCTCTAAAAGAGCAGACGACAAGCAGAAACGTTTGAAAGAGCAGACGACAGTTCGAACGATCAGGCGGCCGTTTGAACTTGAAGACGCATCGAACGTAGTCCGCAGGTGGTCTGTACAACTTGACGATTTTCCGGCGCTCATTTTGGAACAAAACAAATAAATTTGATGACCAGAAGTATCCGTGAATTCAACCCAAAATGCTTCCCGCCCAAGCAATCGTGGTCCGAGGGCGTCTGGTTTTCCCTTTTCACGGCACATATCCGCGTTCTCGGACGAACCGAGCGCATGAAAACTGACCTTTAAATCTTTCTCGACACTTTTGGTACAGCCCCAGTCGCAGCATTTTGACGAAAAGGCAGGTTTTTTTTGGTTCCTTTCAAAACAGCGCAGGAATACACGTCTCACATGGGCACTTCCGCCCACAGCCCCGGACCGGAAGTGCGTCCGACGCGCCACCACCGCGGCGTGACGTAACAGAGGTATACGGCGTGCAAGAGTGCCTGCACATCTGCAGCAGGTCGCGCGTTTGCTGAGCCCCCAGATGCGCCAGCGTCCATTTTGTTTCCCCGTCGATCTCAACCAATGACGGCGCGCGCTTGGCTGCCTCGTCATCGAGCGCTCCCTGTGCCTTCTCTACGTTGCCCTCTGATTGACGTGACCCTCCTTCCGTTCTGATGCGCCAAATACGCTTTTTAAAACCCTCGCTCTCCGCGTAGCTACATTTTTTCTCAACAACAAAGGCACGCATCTGCATACCTAGTGGCAAACTGACTTATAAGCAATTTTATTTTATCTTCCACGGATTCCGGAATATAGACTTTTTCGGTAATTTTGCTTCAGTGCAGTGCACGATCGCACAGTTCACTCCCTGCCATGCCACGGGGATAAAAAGAGGACTGGCATGCCGTATTATGCTTTCGTTGAAGAACTTCACTATATGTTCAGTCACAGGTTCCTCTATACTCACAACGCCTGGCACTTCGACGGCGGAGCCATGAGTGCCCGGTCGCAGATTTGGAGCTCGAGGATCTGGTAGCACAAATCATTTCTCGGGGAACCAGTGCAAAAGTCTTGCGCTATTCCGCGCAAGCCTTTTGCAGCGGCGAGAACCCAAAACATGGTTTTTAAACCCGACGAGAAAAGAAGCGCTAGCGCGAGGAACACGAGGAGCACGAGCGGGCATTCCATCGCCCGCGAGAAGTGTGTTTCGGCGTCTCGCCGCAGCGGGGCGCCCGTCACGAGGCTCTCCTCTCATCTGTTGTCTTCCGCTCTACCTTTTCAATTTCGGCGGCCGCTTCTTGTGGCGATCTGCCAGGCTTTGTCAGTATAGAGGAGGCTATGGTTCAGTGCAGCGAGGGCCACGCGAGGCCTTCTCTGCATGAACGGTCACGCGGACGGAACACCTTTCAATGACACACGCCCGCTCTTCTAGCCCTCGCTGAGTTTCGAGCTTAGACGAGAGTTGTTCCGCATATGCAAGAAGCATATACCCGCAGGAAAGAGTGTAAGCTCGCACCTGGTGGCGGGGGCGGCTGCTGCCTGGCGAGGTAGTCGTCCTTGCAGACGAAGCGGTGCTCGTCCAGCACGTACAGCTCCTCGCCGGTGGACAGTTGCTTGCGACACACCAGGCAGGTGAAGCACTTGAGGTGGAACACCTTGCTGCGCGCGCGTCGCACCAGGTCCGTCGGGGAGATCCCCATCGCGCAGCCCGCGCACTTGGTGCCGAAGCGCCTGCGGCGGAGAAAACACACATTCAGCATGAGATCACCCAGGGCCAGAACACTTCTGATGAGCTATATACCGGAAAGTTTATAAGCGTGAACGAATTGTCTTGATCACTAGTCTGATGCACTTGTGTACGTTCAGTCGAGGCTCGTTCAAAAGCAAGCTTGTATTTATAACCTTCGCTGTGAACTCCCCTTTTACGGGCACATAGAAGGCCTTTAGAAGAAACTCCTTTCAAGAGTCGAGATCACGAGCTGATTTGCGGATTCTTCAAAAAGTTCTTGTTGAAGGACTTCTAGGTGTCCGTGAGACATGGGGTATTATTTAAATGTCGCTGTATCCGTGCCGCGCTGATATATTTGTTCGTGGTTCGTGTCCGAATTGACTGCCACAGCGAGTGTGCATTGAGTTCTCTGGGGTGGCGCCCAATAATAATTATATAAACGAATGCACACACCTAGCATAGATCATGTAGCTGAACAAGGCTCGGAGAACTGAAGACATCCTTGTTTAATGACTACGCAGTTGGCTAGGGGTTACGTTATCGGAGATATGGCACAGGTATATGCGAGAAAAGTTGCGCCAGGTATACAATCCAAGGTCGCGGGCAAAAAAGAAAAAAAAATGCAACAGTGTGGCGGAAGCACGTAACATCAGTAGGAATACAGTCGTTTTGAGCTGTAAAACTTATCCTTCAAACTAATCATACGCGACAAGAAGGAGGAAATAGGTTCAGATTTCAAATCATTGTTCACTTCAAGGAGCAGAATTCTACGTCGGCAAAACGCCCAAAGACGCCTTCGACAGCTGAGCAAAACTCAGTTGTCGCGTCAAAGTTAAGCCCAACGTCGGAAGTGCGTATACTTGTCTTGGCCCAGTGTTAGCTGCCTGCCTGCATAAGCGCCATCTTCAAACCAAAGCAGCCTCCTACCCTGGACAGACACTCCAACTTCGACCGCACGAGGGCAGCGAACCACGGCGGAACTTCTGTCTGCTCCACACAAAGAGGAGAGGGATAGCGCTCGAGCGAAAGTCCGTACTAATTACGTACCGCTTTTCAATCGGAGCCTCCGGCTCGCGCGTGAGGGCCCGGTGTCCAGCGCAAATAGCACTCGTCTCACTCCCGTTGGCCGCTGGATGACTATAGCACACAACGGACCGCAGAGGACGCCACCAGCCACCAAAGCCAATTTAATGCCGTGTAAGGGCCACGTGACCATCGGGACGGGCGGAACGACGCGCGGGGCACCTGGTCACGTGATACAGACACAACGCCGCTTTGGCTGGGATGGCTCGCAGCGTCTTCTGCGGTTCATTACACGTAATACAGGGTGTAAGGCTCAGGCAGAGCGCCCGCATCTCGCGGTGGCCCCTGTTTACGCTGGGTCGAGTAGCACGGGCCAGTGGTCACTTCGGACATGCCCCTATGGCCAACCAACACGGGGAGAGAAAAGTCTTAACCGCACTTGGTTGTTCTCTTTCACTGTTGAGAAACAGTAAGGTAGACATGGGAAATAACTGCAGGTGAATATTGAGAACTGAAGTTGGCTCAGTCAGGCGGCAGGCCGGTTCTGCTCTTCTCGGTGATGGAGAGATGTCAATGTGGGAAAGCGGAGCGGAGAGTTAGCAGTTGCTTACTATAGGTTAGCATTGTGTGAGTTTGTATGGGCTCACTGTCAACCACTTCGTAGCGAGTTTAAAGCCCTAATTACCTCTACTATAGTGGGAGTACCTCACGCAGTTGCGTTGATATGCTTGACTCCGAACGGATGATTAAATGTTCAAATAGAAAGAACCTTTCATGCGAATCTATTCAGGCGCCAATGATCTCGCAGCAATAAGCTGCTGTTCTTTTTTTACGGGCACGTATTTCTTCGAGGGAGATGACAGCGTGAGCGTTTCTCGAACTACGAGAAACCGTCTATCATCGAAATGCGTCCGTGCCCGTCGTTGACTGAAGTCTCCTTTTGTGAACGTGAGAGCGCGTGCGGGCGTTTGCATGTTCAGGAGCACACGTCAAGGGGCGGCGGCGTTCCTCGGAAATTTCTTCCGCCTTTAAATCACCCGGTTTTTTTTTTATTACTTTTCCTATATTACCGTTGATTTTTTTTCGTGCGAGCTGTGGCTACCGGCGCCGCGTGATTTGCGACACAGAGCAGCTGCCTTCCACGCTCCACTGGCTGCCGTTGCTCAGGTGCTGCGCTCGCACAAAAAGTGTCATACTCGCTCACGCGCGTCTCTCCGAAGAGACGCACCTAAGTTTAAAATTGGTCCAATGTATCTTGAATGGCAGAAAAAAACAAAGACAAAACGAAGATTTATTATTACTAAAGTCACTGGACCCTGGCAAAGTATAGTAGCATTGCCTTCCCTGCCCACAAACAAATATCAACATAGAGACGGCCAAACCTGGTAAGGTGATTGGCTGATCTGTCTCAGTTGCCATTCAACTTTTCTAAGCTTCGAAATGGTCATTCTGAACTAGTCGCGCCAGGATTGCTATGAAGCTTCATCGTACTGAAAGCTTTCTTCGTCAGTACGAGCGTCTGTGGTACTGTGTATGTAATCAACTTATCAACCATGCTTATCTCCCCAGGTAACGTACACTGATATTTCTCTTCTCGCGTATTTTGAGAAAGGTAAATAATTTTTCACTGCATCCAAGCACGAAGATGAACGCTTGCTTCGCTGGTGCGGGGATAGCCGTCAGTAGCGAAACTATAGATCAGCTTATGAAGAATGAAGAGGTGAAGGAGAAATTATTTATACCATGAACTAAATTGAGACCCTTCGGGGAACTTGGTGCTACTTTCCCAGGACCCAGTTACTTTAATCGAGACAATTACTTGTTTTGCAGGATAAGGCCACTTCGCGGCATTAGGCAAACATTCATCGATAAAGAGTGGTGACAAGATCTATTAACCTCACATTTATATACAGGGTTTCACAAAAAAAAATTACAGGGTTTTTACTGCAAAAATAACCTAGGCATCGCCGAACGCTCATTCTCCGCCCAAAGGTAGCGCTAGAGGTCACAACCAGATGCCAAAGTTTCAGCCCGATCCAATACCTTATTCAAAAGTTATAAGTGATTTTCTGAAAATTTTAATGCGAAAATGGAGCCCATTTTTGCCCGTTTCCGGTTTCTGGTGCCATAGAGCCCCATGCATTCGAAAACTCCGTCGGCCGCCATTCTCCTATTGAAATGTTTAGAAAATCACTTATAACTTTTGAATAAGTTATCGGATCGGGCTGAAATTTCGGCATCTGGTTGTGACCTCTAGCGCTACCTTTGGGCGGAGAATGATCGTTCGGCAATGCCTAGATTTTTTTCTTGGCAATAAAAAAACTTTTTTTTTGTGACACCCTGTATATATTTGTGACGACTACGAAAGATTACAAAACACCAGGAAAAATAGAGCCGTTTCAAAAGTCACGTGCCGATTGGTAAGTAATTCGGTCTGCTGCACAATGGTAGTACAACCACACACCGCGGAGCGACTTGTTTGGACTGCGCTCCTGCTATACGAGGGCTGGTGAGCAGCGGGACGCGTCTAAGCCTAAGAAGCTCGCACATGTGTCCGTCATTGTGCAGGAACTCCGCAGCTTTCAACAGAGGGCACACTTTCGAAAGGGGTCTATCATATACTGTGCACTTTGTTTTCGTGGGATGAACGCCACTCGATCACTTGTCGGTGCTCGTTTTCGCGATAACGCTCAAGACAGGGGTATCTAAGTGTGCCCGCCTTGTTATTCGAAAGAAGTGTCGAAAGGTGTGTCACAGTTTCGTGAGTCACTGACTGACTTCTTGTTTGTTGTTTTGGTCTACTATTTTTTGATCGACTGCATGGGAGCGGATCACGTGCTGAGGGAAAACACACCGTTCATGTAAAAAAAAAAAAACGAAAAAGAAAAAACAAAAACAAAAACAAAGTGGCGACATTTAGACGAGATAATGCAAACTAAATAAACGTGAACGTCCTCAGTGCCCGCAGAACTTCGTTAGGCCTCTTTGAATAGTAGAGATACATTCAATTAGTCCTCGCGCCCGTTGGTTTTTGTTTGCCCGTCGGTCGGCGACCCTGACAAACCTGACGAATGAATAGAGCGCATTCTAGCTCCAATCCGCGCTCTTTTTAGCGCGATATTAAATGCGGGACCGCCAATCCCAATGACGGTCTCGACCATTTGAGTCCCATCACGACAGAGGTATGCACGTCTTTGATGCAAGCTTGGAGGCACGAGCCTCGAGCTGTATACCTCCGCAATCGCTATCTGCTCACATATAAGACTCAAACTCTCCGCAAGTGTTCACACATAAGACTCAAACTCTTCGCAAAAGTTCACACATAAGACTCAAACTCCCCGCAAGTGCTGTAGATCGTCCTGCGACCTTCCGAACCGCGAGGCAGCGCTCGTGACCAATCGATTGGTGTCATTTGCTCGGACAACCGCTGCGCGTCGAATACTATAGTCGCTGACGGGACTAGAACGGCAGAGAGGTCCTTCGGCTGTCTTGCTTCCACCACGAGCTTTCCACTTTCGATGATGCTTCGGCGTATCTTGAGCCTGCGGCGTGCAGGCGTAGCCGGAGCACGGTTGAAGGCAACGAGCACGTCTTGGAGGCATTGCATGAGAAAGAGGTGCCTCGCTGTTTTTATTTTGTTAATGGCTGTAGAAGTGGTGCCTATCTCTGAGTTCCTACTTTTTGCACGTATACCATTACTGCGTGCTAGACGTTAAAGACCCCAGGGCCCAGCCCTATATACTGCTCTGGCTAAATTATTTACAGTACAGACATCGAGGAGGCCACTTCAATAAAGAGCTTCCAGCTGCCTAGATGCCTATTCGTCAAATTATATTTTTTTAATATTTCGATATTTCTAATTATTACACCGAAATAATCTTGCACGGATGTCACGCAATGTGCTGTTGTACACTGTGTTCGAACGTCAGCAGCCGCGAGACGGCTACACATGACCTGCCTTCCCCACTGTCTCCAGGAG